ATATGTACAAATGGGCGCTGCTTGCTTCAAACATTGTTAAAATAAAGTGTATGACACTAACCAAAATTAATTTTTGAAACTGAAGGCAAAGCTTCATTGTCTTGCAGTTGTTTAGTTACATTTATCCAGAATGTTGATTATTTAACGCATGCGCAATCTGAATACCGAATTGGCTTACTAAGACTTTGCATGAAATCGTCGTCGGATCTAGGATGCCAGAATGAGGAGGGGCGGGGCTTGACGGCCTTGCTGTTGTAGAACGATTGAGACTGTAATACAGGAATGACCCAGCCTGCGCTTGTAAGGCAATAAAGGGATATTTTGAATAAGAATAATAACTTTATTCATATTGCGGGGCCCTTGCGTTGGCTGTGTTGAACTTGAGTCACATAATGTTCAGAAGATCTTGGATATTAGAAGGGGGAGGGGTATAGCAATGTTCTCTGATGTATATTATTATCAGTTTGGGAAAACTAGTATTTAATGGAGTCCTTAGAGTTCATATATCTAATAGGCCTATATTTCCATGACTAAAGTGATTTTAAAAATTATGTTCACCCCGTACAATTGTCTGCATGGGTACATTTAATAGTAAGTGGAACAACATGAAAGCTAAAATGTTTATCAAAGATTCAGGAAGACCGTACACGGAACTCAATTCGTATAAGAGTTGTCTTGAATATTGCCACACGATAAGGCTAATTGTGTATCATGTGCATTAAATTCATCGTTTCCTCATAGCAGTATAAATAATGCTTCAACTCCTCATGTAAATGGAAACCATCCGAAAGTTTGCTTTGCTTCAAAGTTTCGATTTCGTCAGGTTATTTGAGCTAAAGGTCTCTTCCTCTGGTTCATGTTTGCTTTCTGTCGTCAGTTTACACACGGTATCTATACGCCTGTCTTGAAGTACATATAGTATCGACTGCTAAAACAAGGAAAATTATTCGTCAGTGTGTGTTGACGTGCTACCGTGACAAATACCATACTTTACACAGGAGATAAAAAAAAAACGACAATCGTTTTTAATGAAGAAGAAAAAAAAATCAAATGAAAAATGTGAGCCTGAGATTGAGGTTGATTGCTCTTTGTCCCAGTTACCATATCGCTATCATTACACAGTTAAACGGCTCATTTCATGTTTTGTTAGATATGAGCTTAGGTGTTTTTGTCTTCAGTTATGAACATTTTTCCCGCATCTGCTTGTCTTTGGTAAGTTGTGAGTGCAATATTCTTCATTGAAATATGCAAGGATGAGAATCCATAAATACTTCCCTGTACAAGTTCACAGGGGTTATGGTCCTTATTATTTTTTATATTTTTTTTTTTTACAATAAATTGTCTGTGGTGATCAGGGAGAAGGCGGGGGCTAACTCCACTCTTGGGCCGCCAAAAATAGTAAAATATTTTAGTAAAATACAGCAAATGTCTGCTAAATCCCCTCTAGGCAGTCAAACCATGCAGCTGGATCCAATATGGATCCGCCCCTGAATGTGTTGGAGGGAAACACAAAGGTATTGTTGGTGACTCATCGCCATAATCAAAGAGAGTAAATTCCTATGGACATGGAAATGTTGACCCAGGTCACCAATTATGTTAATGTGAGATTGGAGTTCAAAGAACATGCCTGTCTACATCGCCGTCACATGAGGGCGGTCGGTACGTGTTGACCAGAATGTGAACTCTTTTCGCATATTTTGATTGAGGGCGTTGTTTGCACAAATTAACTGAAAGTATTTGCGCTTCACATGTTCACTTGGTCTATTCATGCTGTGACAAGTAAAATCGTTGCTTGCCAGTGAGGGACGTCGAGTGGAGAATGGAGGTGACATCACCCAATTTCTTCGTTGTCGATCAAATAGTTTCATGTTGGTCTTTCACATCATTGACAATATTAAGGTGCCGAGAAAAGCCCAACCCAGTTCGCTTCAAACAGCGCCCCCATTGGTCATGTGGTATCCAGCCCTTCGCTCTTCGATATGTCGGTGGTCGGATGACTTGACAAAAATTAACAGTCAGTCTCCAGGACCGAGTAGTCGGTAGGCAATTAATGTTGTTTTCAGTTATCGCACCCTCCTTCCTCTAATCAAACTGGTCTGGCAACTGCTGTCCACATAAATCCGCTATTTACATGTCGATATTAAATTGTACATGATCGTTAATGAAATCTGATCCTGACGAGTGGCCACAACAAAATAAAGCTTTGGAACCAGACAGTGTTAATTTTGCACTAGTCTGTCTATTTTAGGCAGTCATAATCTATTGAAATGCCGAGCTTTAAGTTCCATATACGCTCGGTACTTGGTACTTGGTTAGTTTCCTCCTAAACATCCCCTAGGGATTGTGACTAGGAGGTCAAACATAGGTAGCTCCGGCAATAGGGAGTTGAAAGTGTTGAATATTGAGGAATTCGAGCTTGTGTATGCCCTCTGGTGTGCGGGGTTAGTTAACAAGGGCTGTGCTTATCATTCACACATATACACTAATAAGGGCGAAAGTAAGTTTGTTCACTTTGTTTCTTCTTACTAAAATACACTTTTTTTGGAATAAGGATACATATGGGTACTCCAAAATACAAATACGCCGAATGGAACCCTTACACATGATTATGCGCGTTCACCACTTTTAATGTTTTTATCTAATACGCGACAATGTTAATCTTGGCACTGCATAATAATTTGTTTTCTGCACGACAAAAAAACTCTAATAACAAAATCTGGCTCTATTTGGTTAATATACTTCAAATTAAACTAGGATGGTGGTGTGGTTCGGATGGAGTATGAAGCTCGTCCAAATTAATTACCCATCAACATTTACCCTTGCAATATTGATAATATCAACAACATGAAAATTTCAATTTTTCGGATGTGATTTTGGACACCTGATGTGAATGCCACATCAAGCTACTTTTTCCCTTCACTCATATTCTCATTTTGGTAGAAAATAATTGCTGCTAACTTCTAAAGAGACATTATCCCAGTGTTCTTATTTTCTTACACTAATGGTGCTAATTTGTTTGAAAATTGCATGCAACTAATGTCGTTTGTATTATACATATCTGAGTAATTACACTTGTTATACTTCAGCCGTCCTTAAATTAAAAAATAAAGGTTTTTTGTGTGTGTAACAATCTCATTCAATTAGCAAAAGAAAAACTGTCTACATTTCCCCACATTTACAATATATATACCCAAATGTCGGGACCGTTGTTTTAGTGAAGTTCTGTATGTAGCCCTTTCCAAATCTAGAATACAAAAGCCCAATTCATAGGCATTTTTTTAGTACAAGAATCATTCAAATCACTTATGTGCTTTTCAAGTTACGGAATTTTAAACACAACCACCGTTTTAAAGTTCTGTCCACGGATTACAAGAAGGTAAGTGTTCTTTCAGCAAAACGAAAACGAATCATATATGGATGTATGTGAATTGTTTTTGTTTTGCTGAAAAAGCGCATACCTGTTTTGTGATCTGTGGACAGAGCTTTAAAACGGTGGTTGTGTTTGAAATTCAAAGTGCTACATGCAGAACTTCAATAAAACAATAGTCCCGACATGTGGGTTTCGCTTTTATGTCTCACTCTGTATGTAAAAAAAATGTGGAGAGAATTTTCACAGGCAAAGGCAAGCAAATGCACTACAAGCTCATGCAACCGTTGATGAGTAGACACAGTTAGCCCGCATTTTCCCAACTGTCTCCTTGGAGATCACTTGAAACAAGTTTCAGCACATTGCCTGTGTCATGACCCTATGTATTTTGACATCTTGTGTGTGTCAAACTGCGACGTGAGTTACACAATCCAGTAGGCTAATTTTAACCGGTATGTTATCATCCACGACAAAATACTACTGATGCCTAGTGAAAAAAAAAATGCTGCGTGCTGTAGATTCACATCCCAGAAACATCTACAACATCTACTACTTGAAATCAAATAATTGTTTCGCCCCGTAGTGTTTTCACAAAGAATACAGCTATAGCTTTAAGCACTTAAAATAGCTTTGAAATCAGATTTGTACACGCCACTAAGTATAAGTACATCCCATTTCTGTTGCAAATAATTATAAACACACATTACGAAATCAAAAACAATTATGTCTGAATATACACGTTATCTGTGCGACTAAACTTTTTACTTTAAATACCACCTAACAAAATCTATGCATCTTATTAAATTAAAAATATTACTATGTTTGGTAGAAAAAAGTTGGAACTGACTTAAAAATGCGATATTACCCTGGTGCTCTTATTTTTTTCTCGAATGTACGAGGTTAATTTGTTTGCAAATTCCATGCCACTAACACCAATTGTAGGTGCTATAGTATTTACACCATTAAGTTTAAGCATGTTCTCCTTGAATGCATATATATTATTTCAGCCGTCTTTTAAAACTTTTTTGAGTTGAAATCTAATTTTATAAGCTTAAGATGACCATGTTTTTTTTTCCATCATGATTGTAATACACACACGAAACGAGACATTAATACGTTTTCTGAATTTCGTAAAATTGCAATTTGAGTTACAAAAGCAAATTGGATGCATTAAGCCCAACAGTCCAAAATCCTTTAATTTTAATAAAATATTTCGCACACCCCTTATAGGAGTTGGTGTGTTGTCGTCGATGATATAACCCAATAGTGCTTTTACAATGCATAAACCTAACAGTAATCATTTAATTTAACTATAAAATTAGACTTTGTACACACCACTGAGTAATTACATCACATTTCTGTTGTAAATATACACACATTACGAAATTATCTGAATATCAATAAAATATCTTGAAATAGTACATTCTTCATACTGTAAATACTTCTTAAAATTCCATGCCGCTTATTTAACTAAATGATCTTTTACAAAAACTGTCTCCTTTTGTATAACGTGCAGACTTTTGCAATCACAACAAATGCATTTAACATCGCAGTGAGGTGTCTTGCTGTACTGAAAGCAATTTCCTCTAATTCTCACCATATAAAAAATCAGCGTTAAAATGCATCGAACAGTTTTTTCATAACAGTTTCCTTTCATTGTGTGTACAATTCTTTATCAATTAGTAACATATTTCCTTCTGATATGCTTGTATCGCTAGACGCTTTCTCTACTTATTTGAAAAGCAAAATACAAAATTGAATTGAAGTGTAATGATTGTTGTATAATTATATGAAAATCCTCGACATCAATATCCGAGATAATCCTTTTTAGCACCTAAAGATTTCTTTTTAAACATTTATGTTACTAATGTTTCTGCGTATACAAATGTACAAAAAAAGATGTGCATAGGCCATACATTGACTGTTTTTAGGTATGTTTTGACATGATCATGTCTGAACATGCATGATGTTAAGCTTTCTACCACTTACTTGAAAATCTATTCCGATGTACAAAAAAACATGTTGGTCGATGTCTTCCCGTTCACGCCATGATGGATGACTATCCAACCAGGCCTTCCGGTGTGAAGTTCTCATAGATGCTGGTCGAGTTCATGTATGCTTGGATGACATCATAGCACATGGCATACTGGTGCTGGAAAAATTAATATTTCAATGAAAATATAAAATGTTGAAACGCAAATTTGACCAATAGAAATAAGAATAATACCCAAAAGACACATCGACAACACAAGCAATGACTTTTATTTTTTTTTCATTTTTGTAAAATACATTCTGATTTATTTAGTTGGAATTTCTTTTAACCTTGTAGTTGAGTTAAACATCTAGTCTAGAAATAATCTGCAGTGTTTGCTTTTGGCCACTCTTTTTTGTCATTCGGTTGAGTAAATATGTTTCTATGAATACCGAAACGTGAAGCATGCAACTGCGAAAATAACAAGATCTACACTTTTTTGTTCAACTGCATGACAAAAATGAGACAATGTTTTAAACTCATAATATTCCGAGTATAATCCATTTTTGGATCTGGTTTGGCTAAAGTTCTTTGTATTTAACCGGACTGAAGAGCGCCCTCATATGGCGGCCGCCTTTATTTACTGTTTATTTTCTCTCCATTTGTCTTATCAACGTGTAAACTTACCAGCGAGTACATCATGTTTGGGTCGACCATGCGCAGACGATGAGCTGCTTGGAACACGTCTACTGCTTTCTCGACATTGAACTGTTCCAACAGCGCCATCAACACGCAGTACACAGACGTAGCGCCATATCCGTCCCTGCAAAATGCATGTTTCGACAAAGTTTGATTAGTTCACTACTTTCTGAAATATGAACCCTGCCAAATTGAATTTCTGTCAGAGGAACCCCACAATATCAAATTACAGGTATAATTTAGGAGTCTTGTAATCAAATGGATAGGCCAGACTATTTTGAAATTATGAGTAGGAAGACATTAGTCCTTTTTAAATTTATAACTGCAGATAATTGAGCCTTTAATTTAGGTTTCATAAATAATCACTGCAAGTAAGCCACTGCCTTTTCTTGAAAAACATTTTGATTGTAAACTCAACCAATATTTTTGTAAGCAATACGAACTAATCTCTTTCACATTTCATCTAAATCATTTGCCTTCTTTTATTCTTACTTGCAATGGACCACGATAAGTCCCTTATCTTGGCGGCTGTCTTGAGTAACCCTCAGTAAGTAAAGCATTCCATCCAAGGAGCTTGGCACCTCCTTGTCAGATGGCCAGTCGTGATACTGGAACTGAGTCACCCTTCGCGTATCTTCGGTCTATAAACAAAAGCCCCATCAAAACTCTCTTAAAAACCGAATCCAACTATTTCATCCTTAATGTACGGTCGGCGTAGTCTTTGCTACGTCATTTACACCGGATTTTTTTTCTGGAAGTAGTTAAGTGTAGGCCAATCCGAGAATGCTACAGTCAGCATTTAAGGTGGCCCCCTTCAATGGTGAATGCAGTGTGCTAACTGTTACTCATAATTCCTCACTGGACACTTGCAGTAAATCTACACTGACAACGTGCTGAAATGATTAAAACGTTGATCTCTAAAGGTAAATAAGGAATTTGACATCTAATGAAACAGATAGAAAGTTGAACATTGGATCCCTACCTATACAACAAGGTATTACACATTTGGAAAAAGAGTGCAACTTTAAATAATGGAAAGGTATCACACGTGAAAATATCAAAAGGAAATCAATGAGTCTTGTTTGAATATGCAGCTTTACCTCGAAATCAGCCTGTTCGTTACGCAGAGTAAAGGTACGTCTAGACACTCCTTTGAACTCTTCTGTTTCATTCAGCTCAATAACAAGAGGGCCGAATTCAATGTGTCCGGACTCGGGCCAGTAGCGAGCCATTGTCTGTTGGGAAAAACAAATCCACATGAAATAATGAACAACATACACAGTAGCTTCTGCACCTAGTTTCTTTGATTAGTTTGATACTTCATGTATGTCATCATCGTCGTTTATTCACGGAGGCATGATGACTTGCTAAGCTTCAGACAGCTTTTTTTTTTCAAGCGACAGAGATAAATAAAAAAGCATCATACAAAATATACAGGGTGAGTAAAATTAAGCGGAACCCAAACACAAAGAAATATATTTCATATTCTAAACAATATGTAGCACCAAAATGAGTTATGAGTTGGAAGCCCATTTATTAAACTACTTTTAAGTGAGAAAATAAGTAAGATTGCATTACACATTAAAATTGTAAAATAAATTGTGTAACACTTAATTACATTTATGGATGACCGGTCATTCTATTTAGTGCATCGCAACCTTTCAGAAGTTGTGAGCTGTACATGGCACATATTAAAGAATTACAGGAAACAAAACAGAAAGCCAAATCCCATTCATTACAAAGTTATATACCCATGCAAATCATAAGAACAAAGGAAAAAGCACTGAAGCCTGTACATCCAGGACACTGTTTTCAGAAAGTTTCTGATATGACACAATGTGTTCCATGTGTATACAATTATCGGGCACTAATCTGGCTAGGAATGTGGCTAGGAATAAGAGTACACCTTATGCGTTAAAGGTATTCTTTGGTATTTTAATTTTGTTTACAATGAACGTACACAAAGGATTACTCATACCTATCCTACAAATACAAATACACTGTCCTTCAACTCCGCCTTAAAGCATGAGGTCTATTTAGAAAATGGGAATGTAGACTCACTTTGTCCTTTGGATCCAGGGCGTTCAACATCACAATGCTGGTCACTTTGTGGTCGTACACCATGCGCCAGAAATCGACGACGGTGCTCGGCATGGGCATCTGCGTTCCGATGTATCCATTCTTCTTGCGGTAGCTCTGATTAAAAACCGCCACATAATGACACAATTCTGCGTGGTTTTTTCATCTGGCACACTATGGGTAGTTATACTACACATCAAGAAGTTCAGTTGTCATACCTCTGTCTTTATACTGTATTTTCATTGGCCCAGGACGATCACCTGACCGGGCGATAAATATGCATGGCACACTCCCGTTGTATATCACATTGTGATATCACATGCATGTAGACTAGTCCCCGCCCCACAGTCCAAACCATTATGCGCGGACCGCGTTTAAACCAGACTATACTTGTACTCACTGGTACCCCGCAGTACTTTCACGTTCCACAATATAATGTATAGCAGTGAGGGAGCAGTGCATTTGCAGACGATATTTACTTTAATTTGGCGGCCAGCGACTGCATCGTTGTCACTACAAACCAGGTTTTTATTCATTGTCCCTACCACTATAAAATATGCCAGGGGATAAGATTTTTTTTTATTAAACTTGTAAAACCTTTACCCCAAATTTCCCTGAACTTAAGCTTGTTTTAATGCCCCTGCATCTATATATGTTGAAAGAATTTTTTTCAAAGATTCCTTCAGTTTGCCACCCTTAAGTTCCCTTAGAAAAACAAGTAAAACACATCATCAAGACAGAGGTATGACAAAACAGTTGTTGACTGATGTAATGTGGGATATGACGTTTTGAACACCCTCCGGGACGCATAGCACCCTCGGCTTCGCCTCGGGCGCTATGCGTCCCGGAGGGTGTTCAAAACAACTGTTAAGATGCTACCGATAATGGGTCATTTGGGAAACATTTCCATAGCCTTTTGCACAACATTCTCCAACTTTAATGACCCCTTACGTTACCCGTAGTTTTACCTTATTTTTTTATCCTACCCCCACAAATTTCGATATATTGATGTTTTGCACTACAAGCAATCGATCTAGCCTATTTGCACCATTAAAATGTTACCTCTTAATAGGAGCTGTGACATTAGGGAGACATTGAAATGTCTCCCTTATGTCCGGTGTCTCCCTATTAAGGCATAATTTATGACGACAAAATGTCTGCTCGAGGTACCATTAACAGGTGTATACATGTACATGGGATTACACAAAATGGTTATTAATAGGCGGCATACGTATCCCGTGCGCCTACCATTTCTTTTGGTGTCTATATTCAAATGGTTTCTAATATACGCTTTCGCGCAGCTATCACAATAAGATCCTGTATGACGCGTACTGATACTTGGTACTTACGGGCAGATAGTTTGCATTGATGTAATCGTTGTCGCCTTCATGCACTTGTGTCATCAAATACGGTCTGGCTCGGTCAGCTGCAGTGTGATCAAGTGAAATATCAATTATTGCTAAGTCAGTCTAAATAACTTCTGTTTGAGGTTAATATCAATCAAAAGTGTGGACAGAAATTAATATTCCAATTTATTAACACTGAACGATTTATACCTTTTATACATTTATACCTGCGGCAGAGCTGTTTTATGTAGAAACGTGTCTCATTTTCACACTTCTTCGAATTTAAAATTCCTCGTCTGCCCATGTTTTATCATTTTCAAAACAAAAAACAAAGTGACAAATCAGATTCAATAAGTTTTGCTGTTGATGTTAAATACATTTTCTGATTACTGTTTCCTTAATTCATTATTTCTTTAGACAACAAACTGCATCACGTAATTAGAGAAACATAGCGTTAATCAATGGCGGGTATAACCTACTGGGAATGAAGTCCTTGAACCGATTCTTGGCGATGCTCTCAGGACGAAGTCCGGACTTGGGTTTCCTGCTTCCATGAGGAACACTCCATTTGCCTAACATCTAGAAAAACAAACGCAAGCCCAGGGGTAAGTGCACTTTCCCCTTAAATATTTTTGTACATTTGAATTCACTGAATCTACAATGACCAAATCATACTCAAGTGCATGCACCCTTCATGTCGTTGATACTTTCATCAATTTGATAACGTCGTTTGATGTACATAATACTTTGGAATATACTTCACATTTGTATAGTGATAGGTAGGTGAAAACTACATTTTATTAGCCTACCTCAAACTGTCTAGTCATCCCAGTACTCTTGGAACCTTTCTTGGGCTTTTTCAGTGCAGTAAGCTTTTGTTCAAAGTTCTTGTCATGGTAGGTCGTGTCACCAGTCTGAGATGATGCCAGCAGAGCATCAAAGATGAATTTGTATTGCTCCTACAGATACCATTTTTGGGTAAAAGTATATCATAAAAATATAACACAAGCAGACAAGAATACAATGAAAATGGACTATTCTCAGGAGATTGAGGACAACATTTTACCACAAACGTCTTTGATTCTTACTCAATCGACAGTTTTATCAAAGACAGTTTTCTGACCATCAAATCTCTTGTCACGAAGGTGATTATACTTTAAATCTCTAGTATTCTATATGTCACAATCTTCATAATGATCCTTTTGGAAGAGTTACTCTGTTTGGTTAGTAGTTCAGTAAAATTACGTAGCTTTAAAATCAGGCCAACTGATGTGAAATTGGACTTACTGGTGTCTGGACCATCTTGATGCGATTCTGTCTCATTTGGTAGATGAAGCCCAGGACATCAACTTGTCGTTCCTGGGCCATTTGTTCCAGCATTGCTTCCAGGGCGATGTATGTACCAGTGCGTCCTACTCCGGCACTGTACAAAGATCAAAACATTTAAATTATACCATCAAACTACGTAATTAAACCACTCGAAATACGTATATAAGCAGTTGCTAACTTTTAACAGTCGATACCTTGTAACTACCTACCTTTCTTTTGCATGGGGTTTGCCAAGAGAGTTCGATTTAAACAAAATGTGTGGCGTTTGGTCGAGACTGTCTCTTGTGATGAATCTAACAATAATATTATCAGTATTGGTCTCTCAGGTCTCCTTTGTAAGTGCCACATGAACAATGTTGATTGCTTGTCCTTATATTTTGTTTGGTACTTTGTAACTGTAACAACTGGTGGGGAGCATACCTGCAATGTATGACAGTTCGACCGGGATTCTGGTAAGCGTTGACTACGCGCATGAAGTTGAGCAATGGTGCTGGGTACTCAGGCGGCTTCATATCGGGCCAGGTGGTGTAGTGGAATTGCTTCACCAGTCTCGTATCCTTCCTGCCGACCTGAGACAAACATGATAGGATGCATTTTGATCTCTGTGCGAAAATATCAGAATTTGCAAATCGAGTGTCCGGGATGCTTGTCCATAACGGGTTGTGTCGATACATCCCACCTTTCTTCATACATCTAAACTAATACGCTATAAGGCCAGGTCTGGTCGATTTTGATCCAGTCAGTCAGTAATTTTGTGACGATTATGAAATAGTTTAAACAGCGTGTTTTACCTCGCGTATGCGGAAATCACGAATGGTATAATCCAGGAAGACCTCTTCTTTGTCTGTATTCACGACGATGCCCGAGATCGTGGTAGGTCCGGTATCAGCCCAATATTGCAGGCACTTCCGCTAATGGCAGAACGAGAAAGGCATTTCTTTGAATACTTCTATGTAGATTAATTGGTTATATATACGGCCAGAAAGTTCAGTGGAGCATACTACTAATAAACTTCGTCTATATACACAGGGACACCTGTGGTCTAGGCGTGGTATATTTTTGGGTTTAACACCAGTGTGATTTATCAACGGGTAAAGCTGCAGGTTATGGGTTCGAGTCCAACCTGGGGTTGTGGTGTGTGCGCCCTTGGGCAAGGCACTTTGTCACTCATTGCTTCTCTCCACCCAGGAGTAAATGGGTACGTGTGTGGGCAGAGATGGTTATTGTGATTGAATGAGCTATCTTGCGCCTAACAGGCAGCATAGAGCTGTACACTCCCCAGGGGTTTGAGATGGTATTTGGAATGTCTCATGGGCCCAATGAGAAGAGGGTAATAATGATGTAGCGCCTTGAGCACCAGTCCTGGTGGATACGTGCGCTTTATAAATACTCAATATTATTATTATTACACTCAAAGACACTCATTACTTTGCCGTTTTCCACCGGATTGGTGAGCATGACAATCTTATCGATGCCCAACTGCCAGACCATTCTCCAGATGTCTTTGATAGATTCCTGATTGGGTCCTGCAAATATTGAAACACAGTTCAATTGTCAAAGCTTGTCATTCATTGAACTGGGTTTTCGATGTAAAAAAATGACTTTTCATTCACTGATTGGGAAAAATGTGCCTTTAATTCGGTAAAATGAAATACCCAGTGTTGTTATTAGAAGGATAAACCTGACTGTACTCACCTTGACTAGCTATGTACTTGTTTTCCTGGTGGTATCCCTGCGGAGTAAACAATATCAACATAGTTAGCTATTTCTCAAAATAAAAATAATTCAGTTAGCAAACGTTGGAGGTGCACTTTAAATCAACTTACATTGATGTAGCAAGCATTGATGTAATCCGAGTGAGGATCACCCTCCAATGGCTGGAGAACAACACGGGAGTGGTCATCTACAGGACAGAAAGTGACGAGTTTGTTGTTAACAAGAAACTCATCCACATGAAGTGATTTTGTCAAGGATGATTGTATGTTAATGACAAAGCTAGGATAACGGAAAATAAGGCTACCGGATAAATGCTTTAACCTTTTAAGGAAAGTTCAGAATGTGTTTGGGGAACGCCAATATAAATGTACTTACAAGCTATCACGTTCACATAGCGATTCTTCTTTCGGTTTTCTGGTTTCGAGGCAACTGTCCACGGGTGTAGCTGTTCATTCGGAAGAGTCTGGACAGAATTCATCTCAAAATGGTTAGTATTTATTAACACTGATTTCTGATAGTGTTAATTATAGATATTGTACTGCACACATCCATGTGGTCATTATTTGTATTTAATGTAGTCGTTTCAGTATTTGTCTTCATCTGTCTCCACTTGAAATTCAGCAGTTTATGAAATCAATCATGTGAACCTGCTGGGCCATATGCGGTGTGTGCTTTGGTTCTGAATAAAAGACCTCTTTTGCATTTTATATTACGAACGAAAACATCTCAAAGGAGGCTGCAGAACTAAAAGCCCATACCGTTCATGTTGTTTCCTACGGTGGCCTTGAAAGGACATGTTTTGTAGAAGGCAGATGTTTCAAGAACATTTTACTCGATATATGTTTACAGATTTTCACTCATCTTAACCATACGTCGGTGAAGGGCAAAACCTAATGTCTTAACAACGGCATCGCCATGGTTTGATTACAACTACGTAAGTTGTATCGATCGCATGTACAAAAATAGCAAGTTCAGTGACACACATGTGACTAAAATTTGCTCCATTAGATCTGTTTACCTTGTAGTCAGCCTCGAACCCTTTGTCACCTGCCGATTCCTTCATGTTAATGTAGCTCTCCAAGTCTTCCAAGCGTACAGGAGGAAGCGGAGTGAATGCCATCCCAGGTTCGTCCGGGGGTTGAGCCGGTTGGGGCGGTTTGGTCTCTTGTATTTGTGGCTTGGGCGGGGGCTTCGGCTTTCTCATGGACGGCGAGTCGCATGTCCCACCCACTGCTGCTGTCTGAAGGAGGATGTTGTTGGAGGAAGATGCCGGATGGTCTTGGGGCCCGTCTATGGGCGGGTCGATCTGTGGCTGTCGAGGCTTGGGTAGAAGCTTGGGCTTTCTCAGGGATGGCGAGTCACATGTCCCAGCCGCTGCACCTTGGTTCATGTAAGTGTTGGTGGTCGATGGCTTAGGCTCTTCAGGGGGCACTACAGCTGAAATCAAATATCAAACATAAACGTAAATTGATCTTATTCCCTGTAGAAAATGAGAACTTGTCCAAAAAGTGAAATTCCTTACCTTCGTAGTCATTGATAGACTGCAGTTGTCCATCGGTGTCCGATTGCTTTTTCGCGCGTGCAGATCGCCTCCTGAAATAAATCGAATCATTCTCGGTAAGTGTTTTCTAAGGAAAAAACAATGCAAACCTTTTTTTATTGTAAAAATCTTTGTGGATAGGGGTCGACGTCTTATAATTGTGTATTAGGTTTTTTGTTTACACGTTTATAATTTTCTTTGCAAAGAAGTGGGGTAGGCGCAGTTTCTACTTTTTCTCAAGCAAAAATGTTCATAATTTTTAAACGAATAATCTGGGTTTTTTTTCCAGATAGAAAGGAACTATCACTTGTCTCCCGAAAAGTATGCATTCCAACGGATGGATAGTTTAACTGTATATCTGCATTCCGTTAGTGATAATTGTCAAATTTGGTGAATACTAGGTTTTGTGCGTGACAAACACCGGGACGGGTAATTGTCACGTATTCTTTACCGTCTATAAACAACGACTATGATGAGAAGCACCAAAGCGACAACGACAATGACCGCGACTACAGCTGGAACGACTGCCGAGGGTGATGGACCCGGTGTCGGTGATGCCTGGTACTGCTCCACTGTGAAAAAAAGTTGAAATAAAAGTAGTTTGATGCCAGGTGTGTGTAAGCATTTTTTTATAGCATGCATGGCTTTTGCTCCGTTAATCTAAACAATCAGGCTGTTCAAAATAACGTGTGTCCAGATGCTGTATAATTAAAATCATAGATATAATATTCAAATGCAATACTTTTATGTCAAATTTGAAGGGATACACAACTCATATAATGCTGAAAACAGACTCATATAATGCTTAATACAGTTTTATTTTCTAGGAACATAATATTTTGTGTGGGAGATTTAAAAAATTTATCGGAAAAATTCGTAACAGAGTTTTTGTATGTGTCTATAGACAACAGAGGCTACACAACTGGATTTGTCTAAAGTATCATGCATTAATTGGAAGATTTAATATAAAAACAATTACCTGTTACTCTTATTGGCACTGAATACGTCACGAAGATTTCCTACATGTCAAAGAAAATATTTTTCATATGAGAGTTTATTTACCTAGACTGAAAGAAATTGCTCTTTCAGTTTGCTAACAGTTAAAAATAAAATCTTTTCAAGACGCGCATTTCAATACACTGATGAGAAAGCACTCCCTTGTAGATTCGACCCTTTATTCATTAACAGTAAACCAAATGGTTCAAGAAAACCAAAATTGTTCAACGGTTACCTCATCATTGCCCTTGCTTACAGACCCCACACGAATTTCATAATCAGCTCCTGTTTGCAGCGGTGCATTCCTGTACGATTCGTAGGTTTCATTGTCTCCAACGACAAATTTCTCTGCCAGGTTTTGCTTGGGGATTTCAGCTGCTATGTAGTCATCGGCGGAGTCGGCGGAACGTTTTGGAGTGAGAGCTGCCCTCTTGGACTTGCGGGAAGCGGAGGTTTTGTTGACATGCACGACGTATGAACTGTGGCAAAAAGTGACCTATTACGTATGGCCTGACAAACACATAATGCTATATGTTGATTGTTGAAAAATGGCGAGTTATCGTTTTTCCATCAGCAGGATAAAACGATTGCGTTCATAATCACTCTCAGATTGTTTGTAATAATTATGAAGCTCAAGTAGGCCTTTTGATATGCACTTATACCATACTATACTCGCTTATATCAAAGGAATATTACAAAATATAACAATGTTTAAGTGCATGTTTATGAACTGACTTGCACGAAAATATCGTGAATTTTTGCACGTGATCACTAGACACTCACAGAGACCCCTTCTATGGAGAAACCATTGTGCAGTCTCTTCAAAGCAACTGCCTTGTGATGTATTATCTGAACAATAGCTAGCACACTGCTTTTCGCCATTGAAGGGGGCCTCCGTCCGTGATAGAAAATGATAGCGTGCCCGGATTGGTCTATGCAGCAACAACCTTTATTTCAGTCCCATTACATCACTTCAATGACATAACGTATGAGGTACCGGGGTTAGTCTCAAATCCTTGCCTATCAATATTTTAATCAATCCTTCACCATAGACTCCATCATTCACGAAAACTGATGTCAGTTCATGCTTACCTGACATACTTGTCGTCGGAGACAAGGTTTGCCAGGCCAATTGTTACTGTGAAATTTGTCGCTTCCTCTTCGTATGTTTTGGGTTGTTTTGGTGCAGGTGGATCTGTAGCGGCAAACAAATACAATGAATCCACTGTGTGGACATTATCTACCCAATTCTGCTAAAATGCCAGCGAAATAGGAAAAAAGAACACTGGACATCCAATGTTTTCCTCATACCAAATATTGACTCATTATAATTTGTCTTTGCTATTTTGATTTGATCTTTAACCTGTCATTTCATACAAAAAACGCGAATCAGTAATACTTATCATTAAGCAAAACAAACCAAACCTTTACCTGACTTAGGCCTAGTGTAAACCTCTAACACTCGGTCGTAACTGCCGGTGAACATTTCATTCTTCGCAAAAACCCTGAACTCGTATTGAGTGCCAGGTTCCAGATTAGTTTTCAGGAAGAAGAGTTCCCGAGTTTCATCGCTTGTGTATGTGTCCATTGCTGTGAAATCGGATTGATAAGGCCTCTGTAATATACGATGCTCTACCTGCAAAAAAGATATATCAGAATATGAGTTAAGAGCTTTTTAACCTGATAAAGAAATCTTTTGGGATGCAGTTTTATCGAAGGGGAAAACATTTTAATGCTACTTCCGGATGTCGACATTATGATAAAAAAATACCCACATCCGGAGACAAAATACATCAGGAACTTGTTTGTCAATCCCAAAACTCTGTTTTTCTTTTCCCTGAAAGTTTATATTACAATCCGATGATAAGAAGACAGTCGTTATGCTAATTGTTTGATTGCACATAATTTCGAAATGGTACTTTTACATGAGCACCTACAATGTAACCAGTGATTGATCCTCCAGGTTGCAGTGGTTGTTCCCAGACCAAAGTGATTGAAGTCTCTGTTCGTTCTGTGGCGTTGAGAATCCGAACAGGTCCAGGAACTGAACAAAAGAAAGATAACATAATGATGATATCTTTTATATGATGAAAACATCTTTTTATAGAATAGTATGGGGCCACGGGAGCGTTTTATTTATTTGTTACGACTACCACGATTATCTATGATTATCTACCTCCGATTGATGTTGTTGCTTGGATAGGGTCACTCCAAGGGCCAGGACCAGGAGACGTCACAGCTTGCACCTGCAAAAATGTTGTCTAAAACTTTATTTCAGGTTAAAAACATCAGAAACATTTGTTTAAAAAGGTTATTTTTTTGTTCGCTTCGAAATAGATCGCGAATAATGTATGCGAACATAAACATTCCTATTATTGATTGTGTCGTTAACTGATGGTTATCAATGAAACTTTGGGAAAGACATTGGTTCCTTCCAGGTGAATCATCATGTATAATGGTGATAGAATAAAAGAAAGTGAATACATGTAAAAGACCTGAAATTGGTATGTTACACCGGCTTCAAGGCCCGTGACACGATGCATCATCCCCATCACATTGGAGTCGGTCTGCATGGTTCCCATGTCTCCACTCCTCCAGTGGCGAACATTGTAGTGCAAGATAAGTCCATTCGGTGGATCTGGTTCACTCCACCTCAGAATGATAGAATCGTTATCCACCGGCTGGATGCTAACTTCTAAGGGCACGGTTGGTGCTGTTGAGATACACGTAAATATAAAATGGCATTTATTGCGCGTTACTTCTAAAGCTGTTACATAATTTAATAGCGTACTTAAGCGTTTAGAGGATTGCAAACAGAGGAGTAGGAGTCAAACTGAATTATAGTTTTGGAAATAGTTTTGGTGGGAGAAGAATTTGAGAAGATCTGCACATGGGAAACAAAGCACCCAAACCAAAGTTAGTTTACCAGCTTGCAGTGTTGTTGCTTCGATAGGTTCACTCCAAGGACCAGCACCGGGGGACGTCTCAGCTTGCACCTGAGAAATAAAAATCATGATTTTTGCAGGTAGTCTATTGATATATTAAATCCTACGAACGACAATTATTGAACGGCCTGTGCTCCTCAAGCACAACGATAAGCTATCCTTTATTTGGTTTGAAAAATTGAGGTTGGCGTCATATTTAGTTCACGTGAATTCTAATGTATCGATTATGTCAATCAGGCAGTACGTCTACCATGAAATAATTGGAAACATCAATGAAACCGTTCAGTGTGGAAAATATGTTAGGGTGTGTCGAGGAGTCGTGGTGATTTGATTCGATTTCCGTGCTTCCTGATACACAATTGTAAACCAAATAAACTAAATAGAAATGAGGTAGACAATTCAAATAAAAAAATAAGTGAACTAAAATAATTCCAGGAAAATCCAAATAAATGAAATTAATATAAAATATAAAAAATAAAAAAGAAAGCACGGGGGCATTTTCTTGAAGCGAAACCTTGTACAGAAATGCCTTGTGCAAATAATGTATAACCCCAAACACACATAGAGATTCACAAAAAACGCACACAATGACAAAACATGCACCACGACATTAGCATTATTCCATTTGATAAAAAAAAATACATACCCGAAATGTGTATGTTACAAAGGCTTCAAGGCCCGTGACACGATGCACCAACCCAATCACGTTGGTGTCAGTCTGCATGGTTCCCATGTCCTCACTCCTCCAGTAGCGAACATTGTAGTGCAAGATAAGTCCATTCGCTGGATCTGGTTCACTCCAGCTCAGACTGACAGACCTATCATCTGTCGACTGGATGCGAACATTGCGGGGAATTGTGGGCGCTGTTAAAATTAAACAATATAATGTCACATTTATAAAACGTTCATGCTAAAGTTATTAGATTTAATTTGCGTCCCTAAGGGTTTGGACGACCGCACAGAGGTATGAATCAAAAATAGGTTGGATTGGAAATCAATTTAAGAAAAAGTGACACTAGGACCAAAGAAGTTACTTCACCAGCTTCATGTGTTGTTGCAACGATAGGTACACTCCAAGGGCCAACACCACCAGACGTCACCGCTTGGACCTGAAAGCAAAATAATATAATTCCAATCCTTCAGATTGCTCCTCAAGCATAGAGATAAATTATGTCTCATTAGCTTCGAAAAATAAAGTAAGTGTAAAATGAAATTCACGTGAATTTAAATGTATCGATTATTAATCTCACATGCAGTTTGATTGTCTGTCTGCCATGCAATTATTGGAATCATCCATGAAATTGTGCATTGTAGTATGGAGTACCGAAGTGTGGAGTCATTTAGAACCTAAAAGTGCAGTGCAAACGAATGGAGTACACGCGCGTGTTGGTTCGCGGGCTGAATCACGCGCTAATGTCCTTTACACACATTTTGTGCGCTTGACGTATTTACTTCACTTGGTACTCCATAATGTAGGACATATGTTAGTTTCAACCACGAAAATGTATAATGATGATAGTTTATTCCATTTGATAAAATGCAAAAAAAAACAAGAAGACCTGAAATAGGTATGTAACACCGGCCTCAAGGCTCATGACACGAATGATTGTCCCCATCACATTGTTGTCCGTCCACACGGTTCCCATGTCCCCACTCCTCCTGTACTGAACATTGTAGTGTGTGATGCGTCCATTTGGTGGATCTGGTTCATTCCAGCTCAGCCTAACGGACATGTCATCTGTCGACTGGACGAGAATATTGCGAGGAACTGTGGGCGCTGTTGAAAGTGAACACCAAAACGAATATTCGATTTGTTCTTGCAACTGATAAAAAAAATCGGTACCGTGCACTAATAAACAATTAACCAATAATAAGTTGGTATTGGAATTAAATTTCTGTGGTTTAAATGAAGTGCCTTTATCACAAGCGTTTTTGTCATTTTCGTTCGAAGGGTTATTTTGGTACGGAATCCATAAACAACCTCACCCAAATTAGAATCAAACCGATAAATGACGGAGAATGTAGTGTTTGGCGCGTTACGGTGCCAAAGAGCCGGAGTCTTACAGCGGAAGAACGAGACGCAAGTCAGGTTAGTTTCGGTGCAATGATCAGACTGAGGCCTCGTGGCCAGCATGCAGCCCACTCACACCGCGCCGTGATGCCTGAGTGACTTTACATTGGCATAACAACACCGTGGACAATGTGCATTCACCACAAGAGGATGGAGAGGGCAAAATGAGATCAAGGTAGAGCAACAGAAAATATAGATTACCTGCTTCTTGTGTTCTTGATGTAACAGCCGCACTGTACGGTCCAGTCCCATCATTAGTCCTTGCAGCAACTTGAAAACTGTAATAAGTATAGGGAGTAAGTCCAGCTATTGTAACTGCTCCACCAGACAGACCAGTTGTAGTCTGACCAGTCATTGGTGCAGCTCCACTTGTACTAAGCCTCCAGTCGTATCCTGTGATGACACCGCTTCGGCTTCCACACAATGGAAGGCTCCAGGAGAAGGCTAGGCTGCGTTTGGCTTCAGACCCAGGTGTCACAGAAGTGGGAGGTCCAGTCGGTGCTGCAATATAAAGTAAATTTCCAGAAGGTAGAATATTGCATTTTGGTAAACAAGGAGGTGGAACAATTTCTACAATGCCGCAAATTGGATTCAATTCATTTAAGTAACATTAAAAAGTAAATAGGGAAATGGACTGGAGCAACGTCTAGTGTACCATACCTGATGATGTGGTTGTGTAGATGACTGTTTTTATTGGTCCGTATGCACCATATACATAAGCCTTGACTTGTATAGTGTACTGAGAGAATGGTGTCAGACCATATAGAGTAGCCGTGTTTCTCTGACACATATTGCAGGGACTGCTATACATCGGTGGATTGATGTTTTCACAGTTATCCCTGTTGGTCAAGGCATACTCCATGTAGTAATGATCAGCACAGGGCAATGTAGACCAGCTGACTGTCATACTAGTAGCATCGATATTTGTACGCGTTACTATGGAAAGAAGAGTTAAACATGGATATTAGGTAGCTGACTATCAAACTATTATAGCCCACAGTTGTTTGCATTTACAAAGGCCAAACAAGTTACGTTTTTACTCATCCAAAAGTTGTTGAACATGGACGTTCCCCATCAGCTGGTTAGGCTTATCCTTGATTTTCTTTCGAATCGCAGTCAGTTTGTAAAGTTAAATGAAAAGTTAAGTCCGGACGCATTATCACCAACACAGGCGCTCCTCAAGGTACAGTGTTAGCTCCATTTCTTTTCACGGTATATACATCTGGTTTTCGATCTTGTCACGTTGACTGTCAAGTGATTAAATTTGCTGATGATACTGCATTGCTTGGACTAATTAAACATGATGATGATAGGCATACTAATGCTAATGAGGAAAATGCTTAATGTTGCTAAGATTAAACAGCTTGTCATTGACTTTCGTAAAAAAAAAAGAGTGAGCCTAGTAATATTGTGATCAATAAAAGCTGTGTTGAAAGGGTTCATACATATAAATATCTTGGCATAATGTTCGATGTTAAACTTGATTGGAATGATCACTTGGATTACGTAATGAAAAAGCTTAACTCGCGCATGTATTGTCTCCTTAAAATGAATGTTTTTTAAGGTCAAAACGGGAATTCTTGTCACATTCTATTGTTCAGCAGTGATATGTGGGGTATGGAGTTATTGTTTGACGGGATGGGGTGGGAATGTCTTGAAAAAGGATAAAGGTATGATTGATCGGCTAGTGAGGAAAGTTGAGAGGATATCGGGGTTGTGCTTGCAGTCGGTGGACTCTCTGTCCCGGGAGGGAGTGATTGGTATGTTTGGTCGTATTTTGGACGACGAAAGCCACCCACTGTGCGCTGAGCTTGCAGGTCATATTATTCCTAGAAGGGGAAGAATGATACTGCCGGCTGCTCGCACCAATCACCATCTTCACTCTTTTGTCCCAATGGGAATTAAATTCTTCAATGCCATTTTTGAAAGATGAATTTGTTTTGGATGACTAGACAGTGGGTGACAGGTACAGGCTTCTCCTTCACGTGCAATGTTTTTATCTGGTATATATAAATTTTAACTATTAATTTATTTTGTATTCAGTGTTCTTCCCTTTTTATAAGCTTTGCGAGCATTGTAATTTCTTCATCTGGATATCAATACCGGAGGTTAACGCAACTTGAGCACTTAGCAAATGGACGCTTGTAATCAGTGGTGCGCGCGCGTGTATGACGAAGTCACTAACGAACCGGATAGGCACGCCTATTTAATTCGTCGCATATTTTAGGCGGCTGAACCATCTTTAATGAATCTATTCGTGGGGAAGATATCAAAATATTCTGCATTAGCTACCAATTAAAATCTCGATGGCAACGCGACAAAATAAAATCCTTTATATGACTGCCAATCTGCATATTGAACTCACCTGCTATCAACCATTTTTCAAACGGAATAAAATATTTCTTTTTGTGACCGTAAGACTTGGTTTGTCAGTGAACTGTTTGTTATATCACCAGCATGGCAGAGATGCAAATGTTGTGTCATCTGCCATCATGATTCGGAATGTGAAGATTATTGAGTCGTCATTGAAAGGTTTTGCTTACCGCTTGTAATCACGTTTTCTGTGCCGATCCTGACTTCAGCCAGTTGAAGGCATTCCCTCGACAGTTCCACACTGACGTATCGAGCAGAGATGGCTTGGTTCGATGTGAAAGGAATCGTTGCTCCATTAGTTGCCTGAGAACTTGTGACTGCTCCTATCCGTCTGTTCTGGGAGAGATCTGAATTCAAACCAGCCCGCACTACAGCACCTGTCAGTCGCCCACCTGCAATGAAGTCTCATCAGTATAGATTTTCCCTACCGATTTCCCCCAAAAAACATTCACTTTGATCAACAAACTTTAAGATTCGTTCGGCCTTTTTTTTTATAACTTTGTTCACACTGGCTTTACTTTCCCTCATATCGCATTCAATTTCGTTTGCGGGCACACATGGTTTTAGTGTTGCCATTCAGATCCGGTTTGGGCATTCTATTTCGTTCACAGGCATTCAAGACTACATTTTCACCAGCTCTGTCCCAATTTCTACTGTTCTTTTCCAACGGGTGCAATAAATTAAAGTAATTGAAGCGCACAGAATTTCTATCTCACGTTTTTTTTCTTTTTCATTTCAAGTCAATATATTTCAACTTAGCCTTGGTCAAGGTTTTCGACGATGATCGATGGTCGGCCGCTAAAACAACTAAGCGTCGCGCGCTCTGGACCCACACGTACTGTTCTGTCTAGCCTATTTCGCACCACTGCAGGAGGAGAGCCTCTTCACAAATTTTCTATCTCACTCTATCTTGAGCTGTCTGTTGCCATGTAATGCCACTATGTGTTGTTAGTTCATCCCTTCATCTTATGTTTTGTCGCCCTCTTTTCCTGGTTTGGTTTCTTGGAGTCCAAATGTACTGTAGTCTGTACGAAGCGCGAACAGCGATCTCACGCAGCTAGGCTACAATATGCTAATTGGTGATGGACGAACGCCTTGAAACAATTGTTCGCCTCGGCTTATGTTTTTCTTTATTTTGCAGCCGGATTTCCAACGACGACCCCGTATGCGAATAAAGGAGAGATTGTTATTCAGTATTTGGTAATGGAGGCTCATCCTTTACATGGATAGAGAGCTGGATAGTGTGGCAACATTCTCCAACAAGTTTGGAGTCCCCAGACTCGAATCATATCCAGCGACAGAGTAAGGACAATTGTCCGGAAAAGATAAGCCATCGCGACGGTTGTTCCAACGCCTTCGGTCATCACCAACTACTTCGCATATTGTAACTTAGAGGCTTGCCATCTGAGGTCGCTGTTTGCACTACAGTACGCGTGAGTTCATAGCAGGCGGCTGCTGTTTATGTTAGCGGCCGACCATCGATCATCGAACACTATCGTCGAAACCCTAAACCAAGGCTATTTCAAACTCTGAGCTAGGGTTCAATTTAGATGTGATATGGTTTATTGGAGGAGGTATTGTCATCTTTCTTTCACAGTAAGTTGTTCTGAATGATACTGTAGTCCACTAACCATTGTCTTAATTGATTTGAATAATTCCATCATTATTCTGTTATTTTTTGTGTCTACGCCTGTCTCTTAATTAAGTCATCATGATAATCATTATGATGGGCAGTATTTTTTTCTTGTGATTGTATGTACAGGTGATGTTCACTCTTTTAATATAGTGTGTGCAGTAAACGATTGACTCTCGCAAAGTTACAGCAGAGTGATAATCTTATAAATAAATGAAAAACACAAATACCCAGAAACACCCATCAACATTCTAGGTGGGTCACGCCTCACTGAATATTGAAGAAGGGTCTTTATGAGAAGCCCAAAACCAATGGCCGAACTGAAGTTTGTTCAACTTTCTGAAGATGGTGTTCGTACGCTCATTTTAGGTTCTAGTAAGAAGTGTTGTATCCTTGACCCTATTCCAATGAAGTTACTTATGAGTTCTTTAGATCTGTTATTGCCTGTTATAACCAGAATGATTAATTCCTCTTTATGTACTGGTCATTTCCCAGCAGCCTAGAAATCAGCAGTGGTTTTACCATTGCTTAAAAAGCCTAGTCTAGACTTAAAGATTGAAAATTTTAGGCCTGTTAGTAATCTTCAATTCATATCTAAGTTGGTGGAAAAGGCAGTCGCATTCCAACTACAATCTCATTTAACATTGAACGGTTTATATCCAACTACTCAATCGGCCTACCGTAGTCACCATAGTACTGAGACGGCCTTATTGAAAGTTAAAAAATGATTTACTAATGGCTATGGACAAACAACATGTTTCTTTATTAGTCTTACTTGATTTAAGTTCTGCTTTCGATACTTTAGATCATATGGTTTTGTTGAACAGGCTCCAGTCCAAGTTTGGTATTGATGGGACTGTTCTCCTCTGGTTTAAATCTTATTTGTCTGAAAGATCTCAACGGGTCTCTGTTCATGGTAAACTTTCTCAGAAATTTGACCTTGAGTGGGGTGTACCCCAAGGATCCTGTTTAGGTCCTTTGTTGTTTATTTTATATACCAGTAGTTTGTTCGAAATTATTGAGACTCAACTTCCAGATGTGCATTGTTATGCTGACGATACGCAACTTTATCTTTCCTTTTGCCCAGATGATGCATCGAGCCAGGCGTCTGCTCTTTCTACAATGGAGGGTTGTATACATGTTGTGCGTAAATGGATGCTCAGTAATGGGTTGATGTTAAATGATGATAAAACTGAATTTATTATCATGGGTACTCGCCAACAATTGGCTAAGGTTAATATTGACAGCATCAATGTTGGGGAGTCCAGACTTTCCCCTGTCTCCGTTGTGAAGAGTCTGGGTGCCTGGTTCGATGCAAACTTGACAATGTCTACTCATATCACAAAAACGTGTGGTACGGCTTTTTATTATTTACATAATATTAGACGTATCAGAAAGTATCTGACCAGGGAATGTACTGAAACGTTAATTCACTCTTTTATTTCTAGTCGGTTGGATTATTGCAATAGCCTCCTCTATGGATTGCCTGATGTTCAAATACCACAGCTTCAACGTGTGCAAAATTCCTGCGCCAGACTAGTCTGTAACGGTTACAAGTACTGTCATATCACCCCACTGTTTTTTTATTTACATTGGCTTCCGGTGAGATTCAGGATTGAGTTTAAAATTCTGTTAATAACTTATAAAATTCTTTATGGTCTACCTCCCTTATATTTATGCCATCTAATCCAAAAACGATCTTCATCCAATTACAATCTCAGATCTTCCAATGACAAAACACTCCTCAGTTACTCAGCAAGTCGAACCAAGGTCACCCTTGGTGATCGTGCATTTGAGAGTGCTGCACCTAAGTTATGGAATGCACTGTCATTAAATATCCGAGAAGCAAGTAGCCTGAATGTTTTTAAACAATTACTTAAAACTCATCTTTTTATGAGAGCTTTTTATTGATTTTTTGTACCCTGTATCAGTATTCATTGTATTGTTGAATTTTGCGTATACGTCTGTTTATTTTAATTTTTGTATGACTGTAATGCGCATTTGAACATATTTTAAATGGAATTTGCGCACTATAAATTAATAAATTATTATTATTATTATTAAGTTTCCGTCTCAGTTTAATACACGTAGCATCACCATCAAAGAAACGTAATGATTTTCTATGTAACTTGATGAAACAGTTTTCCTCAAAATACAAATCATCTCTTTACATGAATGCCCACCCAAGAGAATATTCTTAAAATTAACTGTCTAGCTTGCTACTGCACACGCATTGTTAGACTTACCATTAACATTTATGTTGACTACAGTGATTCTTGTCAAGCAGTACGCAGCCTGCAGATCGACTTTCCACCATTCGTCTCCGGTACACACTTGCGAGAATTGAATGAAAATAAGTATGAACATAAGTTGCAACCATTGTATGGATTATTCATTAAAATATGGTTTATCATTAGTAAGTAGATACAAAAGTATCATAGGCTGGAAAAAGAGACATTTCTGGAAGAAGGGATGAAAACAGTGCTGTAGCGGGGCGGGGGGGGGGGGGGATACGTACATTTTTGTAACGAGTGCCCTTTTTTAAAGAAGTGCCCTTTCCTTCACGAGTGTCCTTTTTTTAAACAAGTGCCCTTTTTGGAATGTCACGCGAACGTCGGTAATTGTGCCGCCATGAAAAGCACTACTTATTTTCCGATAGTGCCTGATCGTATCGCTTTGAACAGAGCCCCCATAACAAGATGGTGTCCAGTTCCCCTCCCCAACCCTGGGGACCGGATGAAGCGCTCCAGTTTCTTTTTTTCATGTATCTTCCCTCACCACCCAAATAAAATGACCTCGCTACACCACTGGAAAAAAATACTAACCCAGCATGTCATTTGCGTTCGTTTGAAACGAACTTATACCGTTTAGATTTGCAAACGGATCATACAATTTACTTCTTCACTAACAGGTCAGAGATGTTTTGATCATCATGAAATGTTTAGGCATATATTGTCAGGTATGTGTACAAGGTTGAACTTCACATTGTCCGTTCATGTCTCGCTAGTAATGCACTTCAAACGCGTCTTCTTTGAGACGAAATCTTGGCCTTTAATAGTTTGCAACCTTGTACGGTGTGAAATCGATTGAGTACTTGATGTAAACATTACAGTTTATCGTAATGTTGATTTTTTTCTTCGCTCAAACATTGGTAGGCTCCTGACGAAGAAATCATTGATATATATATACCTAAGATTCCTTCTCAAGATGTAGGTTTAAATTTAATACGTTGTTTAAATAGTATGTTTTTTTCGATCAATTAAAAATATCATTTAAATATGGAACTTCCGAAACTTTCCCTTAGGGGTTTTATAAAGCATATACATATTCAATTTGGAAAATATTTACGCGTGTGTGAAATTGTTGAGATATCTCCATCTAGTGCTCGGTCCGCAACCAGAGTTAAGTCGAGTGAACTGTCATGGTAGGTGCTACTCTGGGTGGCCGGCTTGTTTTGCAGATCCAGATCAACGGATAAACCTACAATCAAAAATAATTCATACGTTTTATATTTCTTAGCATTTTGGTGGTATTGAGAGGTTGGCACAACCTACACAGGAATATGACAAATAAGAAAATCACGTTTTAATGCGTTTCCCGAAAGTTTAAGTCCAACAATTTTTAATGACAATTCCCCAATATGTTTACACTACGTAAAAAAAAAACCCCAAAACCAAGTAGCACATGACATTAAAACAAAATTAAAGCCAATAAAAAAAGAAATTACAATAATGTATCAAAACAGTATTTCTTAGGCAGTGTAAAATATGTTCAATTTATTAAACCACCGTTCCTTTATTACGAGGCGAGTTTAAACACCACTGAAGAATAAAGTATAAAAGAAGGGGACGCTGAACAATAGAGGACAATAGGGTCCCCAATCTCCTGAAGGTCCACAATTTGGCGATGTGTACAAAACATATGGGAGGTCTTCCTAAAAAGTACAAACAAAAGAGGGACAATATAGGGGTTCCCAATTGCAGGCAAACACATACATACTGGAATTTGTATCCTTGTGGAGTCATTTCTTTGTTCTCGTTTACTAAAGTTTTCGAGTTATAAAGTGTAGTTTCGAAATGCTCTTTTTTTAACCAGAATGGATTTCCTGGACTGAAATTCGGACTTAAGATCCCTTCAATAAAATACTTTAATTTGCGACCCATCCCCACACTTTGGAACTTCCTACTTTTTGAGTAAAATCCACATATCTATTTCGTGATAACCTTGTGGAGACTTATTCACCGATAGAAATTGTCCTGTGGAGACGTATTCAATCTTGTGTTCCCTGTTATACCCATGTCTCCACAGGGTACCGTGTAACAGATCACGCTTATGTGGGTTTGTTTATGGTCTAAATTGGGGACACACATGTTAACATGTGAATTGAGGACAAGAGCCAAATCGAGGACGACCTCGGTAAGAAAACGTGTACAAAACAAATGAGAGCTGTTGCTGAATGAAAAAAAGAAAAGATCGATGATGAGGAACAATAGGAAATCATCGATTTACACCATAAACAAACCGGCGCGTATGTGTTGTTCACAAGATGCTCGATCGCGAAGCGGGCGACAGGCGGCAAAGCCCCCCCCCCCCCCCCCCCCCCCCCCGCACAGCGGGCGAGGTGAAGCCGCGTTTATTATTTTGGCAAAAAATTCTAATACGCCCACGTTCAAGTTTTCACCGCATTAATTTTCTTTTTTCTTACTTTTGATTCAACGAATTGTTCCGGATGATTAAGCTTGAAATATTGTAGCTTGAAAGCTTGAAAGGCCATTGTATTTGTGTCTTAGTGCCATTTTGTCCAAATTGCTTCAGAACCTTCTTTAACATTTAAACAAAGTGGCGATATGTACATAGTACATGCACATTTGTCACAATATACATACACCAAAATTTAATTAATTTATTTCCGGGTAGTAATTTTGACATATGAAGCTGTATATTTACCTGTGTGAAGAATGGCACAAGCCCACAAAAACACCGGGAGTAGGAGAAGACATTTTGGAGAACCCATCTTATCTTTTGTTTAACGGAAATATGTCTTCTTGGACGTTAATTCGCTAACCAGATCACAACTCGAAACCCAAAAGTCGCCATGTTCCGCGCAGTACAGAAAGTAAACTAGTTTCCTTCACAGACGAAATACATGTGTAGTTGCAAGTAAGCCCATCGTGTAAAGGTCACGTTCAGATTGAACTTGTGGTGGGAGATTAGATTTTCATGTAGACGTGAATGCGTTCTAGAAAGTGCAAAGGGAAAACAAAACAATGAATATGAAATGAGTTCATTTTTGAGTCAACCATATCAAGCGGGGCTGTGTGGCAAAGCAAACACTGGCCCACAATTCGCTTCCTTGTCTGAAAGTCGCTCATATAATAGATAACCTTCGTGTCGTCCGAAATCTTATAAGGAACAGGAACATAGTGCACTTTTTAAGGTAATAAAACTCAGACGCTGCAGTGTCCTAGTCACTGCAATGGTCGACTAGGCTATATTATTTCATTTGCAATCTTAAAAAAATAAGCGCTTCTCGTCAACTCAAAATCGAACCTTTTATGTGTAATACCGATATCTGCCAGGGGTAAAAACCTTTGACAAACATTAAGAGAGATTCTTGAAAACGTATGTGGTCCAGTCAATTCTTGATCAATGTCGAGCCAATGGTGAAATTATTGTATGATGAGTTTTAATAATAATACTAATGTTTATAATAGCAACCGAAGGAGGGAAAGTTACTTTTAGAAATGTCACCTTTAAGTTAAAATACCAGACATATCTCAGGCGCGGATCAAGAGGGGTGGGGGGGGGGGGTCTAGCTCTGTCCAACTCCCCCAGCTCTGTCCCAAATTGATTTTTTTTCCCGTAGAAATTCCTTTAAAAAATCCGGACCCCCCCCCCCCCGCTAGCTCAATCTTTTTTCTAGTAATAATGTCTGCCTTGCACTTAGCGCTAGCTTGGTTAGGGGTATGTACATTATTCTGTGATATAGTAAATAATCGTCGGATTTGAACAGCGCCCCCATTGAAAGTATGGTACCAGCTCCCCCCCCCCGCTTTTTTTTTTTTACGGAGACCAAGTGCCCGGCGAAAAAAGTGTCAACATTTCAGATTTGTTTGGCCGATGAACCCCCCCCCCTGCGAAAATTCCTGGATCCGCCCCTGTACCTCAATGAATTATGTCGGTCAGGACCTTTATCCCTATAAAACCAAATCAGTTCTGTGTGCCGAGTTTCATTTCAGCGACACCTGATCAGGACTTGTTAACAAGTCTGTGCAAAGTGGAGATTTAGTTGTGTGTGGTCATTGCAAGAGCGAGTTTAGTTAAACTTTCGAACTGTGTTTTAGCCTGTACGTGAGACATGCTTCATTCAGTTATCATGTGGATATGTCGACGGAAAAATTGGGTCTCAAAATCGTATTGATTGGAGAGTGAAAGTGTACAAAAGCTCACACAACCATGTTTTTATTAAGGTCCAGCAAATATCCTTATTCCGGTCTTTAAGAAACAATCACAATGCCAGGGAATTCCCCGTTCCGTCCCCTACTGAGTAGGCCTACGTCATTGCCAATATTTCGGCATCCATTGTAGCGGGAACGCGTCATTTCTCAGTATGCATAAATGCCATATGTTTTCTAACATTTGTTTCCTGTTCGCGATGCAGTTTGAATAGTAGTCTTTGTTCAGGCGGTAAGCTTGCAAGGGTGCTTTTAGGCTCTGAAGTCATCGCCTAAAAATGCCACCGTTGACTGCTATTTCGTGTGTACAGGACATGTATATATGCAGGCGCGGATCCGGGGGGGGTGTCCATAAAAAAAAATTAAAATTACAAAATTATACTGGTATAATGTCCGCTTGTTTAAAATACGGTACACCATTCTGTTATGTAGTGTTAATAATCGTCGAATTTGAACAGCACCCTATTGAAATATGGTACCCCCCCCCCCTCTCCCCCCAGTTTTTGACTTTACGGAGGCCAAGTGTCCGGAGAAAAAAACCTGTGTACATTTTCCTTTTTTTTGCTGATGAAAACCCCCCCTGCGAACATTCCTGGATCCGCCCCTGATATTTATAAAATTAGCTCCAAAGAAAGTAATAGTCCGGGATCCAGAACCCCAAAAATTAGTTAACCCTACACAATTTCCTCCCCACAATATTTTTACATATTTGTATGCAGTAAGACCTGCTGATTCAGAATCTGGACGTTGGATTAAAATTTGACCCGGCGAAAACGCATTTTTAGGTCAAAATCCGATATGGCCGCCACTTCCTCCCAAAAAAACATCAAAAGTAAGATTTTTTTAATAAATTCACCAATAATCGACCGATTGAACCCAAATTTGGCTCAGAATGTGATTTGTGGTAGATAAGCATTTGTACAAAATTTCACAATGGGGCTATTTGAGAATTTTTGCAAAATCCAAAATGGCAGCCATTTTTGCGTAATAAAAACAAGAAAACGCATCTTTAATTAGTTTTCTTTAAAAAAAGGTATATTTTTATTCAAATCTGGCCACAATGAGTTTCAGATATTAAAATTGCCCCCTACACAAATGGATGAACACCATTGGTTAAATCTTAACCGTAGCAGGTAGGAGAAACCCCTGTGTATGATTTCCCAGTGTCAGCCGATTTTTATGAAGATTTTGCCTGCATGTTCCTTTCACCAAAATCTACATGATGGCCACAATATGAAAAATAATAGTTGTCCCTTGTATTTTCTGTATTCGTTGTCGGAATGTTATTTAAAAAAAAAAAAAAAGGGAAATATATTTTTTGCTCAATAAAACTTACTGATTTCTTTCAGGGGTTCACCGCATATCTAAATGAAATATGGCCAATAATGAATTCAGTCTTCATTAAAAAACCCTCCTCGAGTAGAAAGGTACATCTGACTTATTTCAGAAAGAATAGGATTATTTAATAAATGTTGCCCAAGTGGCAGCTAAACCTGCAGTTCACTGACTAGTTTGTTATGTGCATATATTGGCTTCATAGCG